ATGTTTTCCATATCTATTGACATATGTTGGTTAGCACTAGAAGTGACTGACAATGTGGAATGTAACAGTTCAATTGGAACTCTACACACCCAGAAGTGGAGGTAAATCCACTTCTGATTTTGAAAGGTATTTCTATGCAAAATCATGCAAGGGATCTATAACATATTTTAAAGATATAACATCCAAAATCTACAAAACAGTGATATCTTTATGGGCTCAACCAAAATGCACAATATACATGTGCAAGCCTTTGAAGCTCCAGTGGCTTCTTTATCAACCAAAGATGTTAAAAATCACACAGAAGAAGAAGAAAAAAAAGGAGGATATTAGTCATAGGCCTGCATTTTGTCAAGATGTTGTGGTTGCTGTATCTTTTTATCTTGCTATTTTATTTCCTGGACTTTAAGAATCTTCCAGTACCCACATGGGCAGAAAGAAGAGGGGCCTGCCTACATGCATACCCCTCCTTACCAACTGAGGACAATCACAACATCTCAGCAAAATGCAGGCCTGTGACTAACATCATTTTTTCTTTCTTTCTCCTTTATGATTTTTAACATCTTTGCTGATGAAGACACCAACGGAGCTTTGAAAGCTTGCAACATGTACATTGTGCATTTTGGTTTCCAAATAAAGGGATCACTGTTCTGTGGATTCTGGATGCTATTTTACTTTGCTATATGGCTAACATGGCTACCCCTAGATATATTTAAAAGGTGAATAGTTATTCCTGGAAGATTCCATAAGGCACATTTAGGGCAGAGGAATGGGTGGACTTGGAAGTCCAGAGAGGTCCAGGACTACACATGGCATTTGGGCTACTCTTTGCCCACTCCTGGTTTATAGGAGCATACAACTGGACCTTCCTTTGTCAGAGACTGGAAACAACTAATTGATTTAACTTGTTATTATTTCAAAAGAAGTTTCTATTTTGGTTTAACTCACTAGATTAACTGATTAATGTCATAGTTAATCCCATGCCATAAATTCATTGATTAATTTAGAAGTTAATTTCATGTCATAAGTTCAAAAGCAAGTTCATTGATTTTAGGATTTTTGAATTCATTAAAGCCGGTGGTTGTATATCTGCTGGCGGATTAGCAAGACAGGAAGGCTGGAGGAGAGAAAAGATCAGTATTGGAGGAACTGGCTTTGCTGCTAAGCAGGCTGCTCTGCTTGCTGTTGTCGCTGCTACCATGAAGAATGAAGCAGAGAAAGTTCTGTAAACCCAGCAAAAAAATAACTAAGAACCAATGGAAGAAACGGGGAAAGGAAGGAGGGAGGGTGTCCTGATATGAAATGAAATGGGGCAGGGGATGAATTTGTTTGCCCAGCTCTCAACCAGTCATAGCTTTTGCAGAATGTCAGGCCATTTTAGTTCTGAAAGGTTGGAGCTTCAGAACCTTGCCTAAAAATGCCATGGAACCTCATGGTAATCCTTTATTACTGACTTGTTAATAAATGGCAAGTATTCCTTAACTCTCCTGCCATTTCCTTTTCTCTGTGCTTCTTTCAATTTATACTCCTCTCATTCTGTTTTTTCACCCACACCTGTCTTCAGAAGTATTCACAAAGAATATTCACAATTATTCATTTCCAGGTCAAAAAGCAGGTTTCCTTACAGTTAAGAACCCCATGGAGATGAATAATAAGAGTATCAAGATTTTTGCACCATTTCCACCAATATTAGAATTTCCTTAAGTATTGTAGAGGAATTATTCTGTGGAGAAATATATTTTTATGCACTATAAGATTATTTTCTGCACAGAAAATGTGTTTTCTGTGCATAAAACCATTTCCTGTGCAATAAATGTTTCCTACAAATAAACCATGGTGTTTTTTTTGTTGTTGTTGTTTTGCATTAATAACTATGTGGATTTCTTCAGATAATACTGAACAACACTTCAGTACATTTGAATACATAGGGACTACTGTGGAAAAATACATATTTTCTCCCACACTGGAGAGAAAACTATAGTAATTATTCATGCTCACAAGAATGGTTAAAAGAACTAAGGATTTATATCTAAACTCTAAAAGGTTTTCTAAGGCTGGAATTTAGAGCCAAAAGATACAGCTAGCTGTATCCCATCCCTGGAAATGTAAAAAATACAGTGAGAAGCAAGCCCTGCTGAGTTAAATGAGCAAAACATGGACTGCTGTACTGATCTTTGCAGATCACACTTCTTGACTGGGTGGGGATATAGTGATTCAGGGCTATGAAGAAAAACATTTCTGGTTTAGAATTCTTCGTCCTTTATTCAATGATTGATCTTTGTAGCTAGTCCCATATAGGTGCACCTGCAGTGAATCTGTGTCCTCTAGCTGAAATTAACTCATTACTGTTCCGGATGCCCCTGCAAATCCAGAAGAATGCAAATATTCAAGTTGCCATTGGCTACAATGGTTGTGCGCTCCTGTGTGCGGCGCTGCGCACACGCGCCATTTTATCCCTCCCTGCTTGCCATCCGAAAAGGACCAAGACTGTGGACTCTAAGTCAGCGAACAGGGAGAGACAAGTGTATTTCTTACTACCCTTTAACACAGGGTGGGAATCATGTTGCCTGCCAGATGTACTCAGACAACAACTCCTAGTAGTCCTTGCCAACATAGCCAACTGTGATGAATGTTGGAAGTTGCAGTTCAACAATTTCCAGTGGACTGTACTGTTCCCACTTCTGCTTTAGCATCTCTATTTATTAATCTTTAATAAACAAGGTACTAGAAGGTGAAGTGAACAGGCCACACGTTGTTGTTGTTGTATGCCTTCAAGTCGTTTCCAACTTATGGTGGCCCTAAGGTAAACCTATTATTGTTTTTTCTTGGCAAGTTTCTTCAGAGGTTTGCCACTGCCATCTTCTGAGGCTGAGAGAGTGTGACTTGCCCAAGTTCACACAGTGGATTTACATGGCTGAGCCAGCATTCAAAACCTGGTCTGTAGAGTCACAATCCAATGTTCAAACCACTACACTACGCCGGCTCTCATTGGTGAGGGTAGAAGCAGGTTAAAGGATGAGGAAAAGGGATTTAATGAAAAAACTTAATTGAGTTTGTAAGATGCAATCACACTATTTCGGAAGCCTGACCATTTCCAGGCACACTGAAGTCCCAGAATCCCCAGGCAAGGACTGTATTATCTACTTTGTAGTCCATCAAGGAAATTCTAGGTTGGGGCAAGACAACATTCAAAAAAGAAAAGGGACACTTTTGAATGTGTCAAAAAGAAACACCAGGATCAATGGGAGCAACTCCTCTTTGCCATTCTCTGTAAATCCCTGGTTCTACCTGCTTTCAATAGTGAGATTAATAATGATAATTTAACCAATTAAAGAAATGTAGTTATTGGCAATTTATTTTATTTATATTAATTTATTTATAATGAATTAAGTTCCTAGGTTCTAACATTTAACATGTTAAACCTAATGTTACAAGCTCTTATTTCTGTCACTGTGCCTAAGCTCTTAAGTATTTTGCATCTGTCTGGTCCCTTTACTGGTGGCATTCTGGAGTTAGGAACTCTTGCCCCTCTGTGGCAAATCATTGGAAAATCTGCTAGTAGATCCTAGTAGTTTCCGTCTAATCCATATATATATAGGACTGCATTCTTAATTTTCAAATGTAGGCTATGTATATTTCCATAAAAATCGTTTTTGTATCTCAGCTCCAAAATCTTTCTCTGTTACTGAAAGTCCCATATATTTTCAACATACATGTGTTATTAAACAGTCAATTCTGGAAACCATCCTTCACAAACATGCCAGATCGCTATTACCTGACTCCTTTAAATAGTGCTTGACAATTGATGAAGTTCCTTGAGGTGCAACAAAATTCTCTGCTCCTTCCTTCACCACCATTCCTTCTAACACAGCAGTCAATGGCTTCAGTACTCCATGGGCCAACAGATCTTCATAAAAGCTAAAAAAAAAGTTTTAAAAAGCACAAAAAACAAACAAACAAAAAACCATAATGCTTTAACTGACCAGGTGAGTATATATGTCCCAAAATGGCATTTTCTTTCAAAGTATCTATCAAGATGTGATGGGTCTACAACGATTACAATCAACATGTACAAATAGCCAAAGGGGCTTTCAGATTTAATGGAAAACTACTTTACTGCAGTTCAACGAAAAGGACTGAGAACTGATATCAGAAGTTTACAACTTATTTTGACGATTTGGTAGAGCAGCTCATGTGTACTAGGATGGCGAGTAGTGCATGGAAATCAAAGCAACTACTTCAGCACTATGGTTCAAGACAGGATGGAGAACATTGTTGCGACAGATACTTTTACCCAGGCTAATCCCAAAGCTCTAACCCTTAGCCATTACAAAACTTTTGTTTTGAACTACAAGCTACTTGTGTTTGTTGTTTCTGAGTCAGTCTCAGTCCTCAGGGAAGCATGCCTTTGCAGACTGCCAGAAATAGTGCACATTAAATTGAGGCAC